TCAATAACTACGTTTTAAGAACAGTATTTATTTATCTATTTATCTATCTACCTACCTATTTATTTATTTATTTGTACTAGGGATTGAACCCAAGGGTAACTTGCCACTGAGAAACATTCCCAGCCTTTTTTTTTTTTAATTTTTTGAGACAGGGTCTTATTAAATTGCACAGGGCCTCTCTAAGTTGTTGAAGCTGGTCTTGAGTCTGTGATCCTCCTGCCTTAGCCTCCAGAGTCACTATGGGACTCCAGGTGTGCACAACTGTGCCTAGTTGATACAATCTTAATAAAGACTCTAAGAACACCAACAGCTATCATAAGTCCCTTGGCCTATTATGTTGCAAATTATGGTCACAGTGTCTCCTAAATGCCAACTCACATGAAAGCTTAAACACAGTGAAGAAAAAAGTATATAAGCAATAAAAACAGTTCTCTAGATACTTTTGAAGTCAATTTAGAACGTAAATTAAGTTCCTAGGGCTCAGTTTTGAGGTTTAGTTTGAGTAAACATGAATATGTGACCTATGGGAACCTTTTTGAGGGCCTCCTGGAATTGCTCTGTTGTATGAAATTTGAGACCTAAATGACCAGCTTGATTGGTTTGCTAGTTACATCTGTTGTTTTTCCTACTAGTGTCCTTCCTTCCAAAATGGTCTTCCTTTCCAAAGACAGAAGACCTTGCTACTTACTTAGAAAAAAATGGGGAACTGTAAAATGAAAATGATTTGATGAACTATGTCTTTAGGAATGAAAATAGCCTACTTGATCCAGAAGAACCAAGACTATAAGAACTATGCAAATATTATGGGAACTCTGACTTTCTTTTATTGATACACTCTATCTGCAGAGAGACTGGCAGCAAATGCTTAAAAGGTCTGTGGGCTGAAACAAAAACAAACAAACAAAAAATATAAAAGAAAAATTAGATGTTTTCTCTTCTTCAGATTGTCTTGGGGAATAAGAACCTAAAGAAATGTACTACAAAAGCAGTTCTATTAAAAAAAAAATAAGATTTTGAATCTTTGGAGGAAAAGTGGTTCAGAAGTGTCCCAGGAAGCTATCCAGGGTTTGAAGAGTGACCCTGGGAACTTAGCTAGAAGACTTTCAAGTTTTTCCGAATCAAGCATCTAAGGGGGAATATTTAACTGAACTATTTGGAACTTCTTGGTTTGAAAAATTGGAATGTGATTATGAAAAGATCCTTTCTTAGGAGATTTTTTTGTTTATTTTTTTGGCACCATTGCTTCTGTCAGGGCCAAAAAAACCAGGGGGGGAAAGTCTCCAAACTAAGTGAAAACTCTAGATTCTTATATATATATATATATAAATGTGTTGGGTTGATTCTACAAGCTGTAAGGGTTTGGCTTGGGTAATGCTGGAGGTCATAAGTAATATTAGGTCAGAGTCTTAGTCTGGATCTGTGCTTGAAAATGCTCATAATAACAGCGAGGAAGTTCTGGGCAGTTTCTGAAGAGTTCCGAGGCTGGGGCAGCAGAGTTCTGCTCATGATGCCTTAGGTATTCATTTAATATAGGATGGTTCAGATCTTTCCTCTAAAAGCTGCAAAGATAAGGACTGGAAGTTCAGCAGTCTCTGCAATATCATGGATAGCATGGTGTCTTTTTAAAACATTGATATTTAAGATATCATTATGAAAAGGCTAGTAAAGAAATCCAATGAGCTAAAGAATATTTATTTTCACAGCATTTCTAAGATGGACTTTGTCAACATCAATTTTAAAAAAATTTTAAAAATATATCAATTTCATTTTTAAATGAGTCAACAGTACAATGAGATGTGTTTGGGAGGGAGGGTGGAGAAAACCGTGACTCACACAAGTTGTATTATCTGGTATCAAGAATCCTAAACAGAAATAGAGAAATGAACTAGGCAAAATGTTCTGCTGAACAATTACACTTACTCCCAATGACTGTACCTTCTGGTCCCCTGTACCCTCCCAAGTTAGGCATTCAAAAATACATATAGGACTTTTTTGTTAATTTTAGTCTTTCTTGTCTCATCTGTATTCTGGCATTTGGTCACTTCCAATGTGCATTTTATTTATCTCAGTGTTTCTTAGTATTTCTGCCAAGTCTTAAAACCCTGCCATCCATGCTATTTGTGAGATCAGTCATCCTAACCTCAGCCCAGCCACTTTGCTGCCCAGTAGTTCTTCCATTTTGCTTTTCCTAGCCTCTGCCCAGGTTCCTCAGCAATCATTCCAGATGTTTGTGCTCACTTTCTGATGTTCAGTTTGTTTCTGTAACCTTTACCTTTATCAAGATCACTCCTCTTATCACCCACTGCCTCCTCTGGGACCTGTGGCATGGTGTTGAGGGGACCCTTTCCTCTCACATCGTCAGGTCCTCTCTCTATATTAACTCACATCACAGGGGCCTCATATTTTAAACAAGCAAACAAAAAACTCAAGTCAGTGACCCTTCTGTGATTCTGTAAGCGAAGTATCCCTGTTAACCACTTTATATAAATAGTACTGTCAGCTGAATGTCCTCTCCAAAAATCATGCTGAAATTTAATTGCCATTGTCACAGTACGAAGGTGGGAACTCTGAGAGGTGAGAGGTTCTGGCTCTGCTCTCAAGAATGGATTAATGCTGTTAATGGGAGTAGGTAAGTGATTGCAGTGGTGGGTCCTGGCAAAATGGATGAGTTTGACCCAATTTTTATGCCTCAGCCATACTCTGCCCTTTGCCATTTTATGACGCAGCACAGAGGTCTCCTCCTGACACTGGCATCAAGACAAATAGCTTAGAGTGATCCACCCCATTCCTCATTAACACCCCTCCTTACTCCCTTTGATCTTGCTTTGGTTGCTAATACAGTATAGAAGTTGCTGACCCATTTGTCTTTTTGTTTCAGTCTTCAACCTCAAGGCCCTATTTTTCCTACTGAGTATCTTTTAGGAACTCTCAACTTGGTTTTCTACCTCTCTTACCATGTGTTTTGTGGCTTAACTCACTCCACATTCTTCTTCTATCTGAATGCAGATATTCAAGAAAGGCCCAATGTTCCTTTCTCTGGTCATTCCATACTCTCTGCCTAACAAGCTGCTTCCAAATTTTCAAACTTTATGCTTCTAATTTTGTGTTTTTTATGGCTTCAGCCCTGTCCTCTTTCCCTGATCAAAATCCCTAGTGCCTACTTAAATTTACTGTTTACAACTCAAGCCTACAATTCAAACTCAGTAGTGTCCCTAAATCAAGTTTATTATTTTTTCCTCTCCAAAAACTTCTCCCAACTCTATGATTTCTGATGTGGCATTCACCACCCTTCTAGAAGCCTGAATCCTTATTTTCCATTCAGCAAATATCCACTGTGTGCTTAATAAATGTTAGGCAACAGCTCCAGGCCCTGATTATAAAGAAGCAAACAAGATGAATGAGGCTCTTCCCTTTGTAGAATTTGTGTTCTAGAGTGGGGAGGTAGGCAGCAAAATCATCAAATTTTGGTAGAGAGAAATGCTGTAAAGAAAGTAACAAGTGAATGTCTATTCTGAAGAATGGGGTTGGGCAGCAGGACAACATTAGACAAAGAGGTCGAGGATGACAGTCTGAGAGGAAGACTTTGAGCTGGGACTGGAATACCAAAAAGGCCAACATGAAAATATGGAGGAAAGGGCTTCTTGAACAAAGGGATTAGGGAGTACCAGAGCCCCAGATGGGTACATGCCTGTTTCCTTTATTCCCACTTCACCCCATCACTCTAACTGCAAATGCTCCTCAAGTTGTGCAACGTGATCTTCATTTTGATCCCTCTTGAACTCATTTCCTCCTGGGTGAAGCCCTTGTTACTCCTTGTTCCCCTTCCACTCTCTGTTCTAGTGCAACCCTTGTGTCACTACAGAATTAACCTTTGGAAACTGAAACTTGGCATCATACTCTCCCTCCCAAACCCCTAGTGACTCTCACTATTTGCTGAGCTAATACAAAACTTGGAAGTCTGACATTCAAATCTTTTCATGATGTAACCTTAAGATATCTTTCAGTTCTTTTCTTGTATTATGCTGTGCACAATCTGCTGAAATTAGTGTGCAGAACACACCTTACACATTCCTGCCTCCAAGGGGACTGGTGTGTCTGTCCCTTCCCTTTGGTCTATTATGCCCTCACATCCAAGATGGCCAATCATAACCCTGCAAGCCCTACCTACCTCAGGTCATCTTCCCATGTAAGAACCTTTAGAATTCTCTTCAGAATGAAGTTGATTCAAGATCAAGTTTTGTATCAACCTTATTCCTCCCTCCCAGCATTTTTCATGTATTTTCCCTGGATTGAGGTCATGTGCACATCTATTTTTGCTCTACACCCCTTACTATGTTGCAGATGTTTTAAGACAATGACCACATGTTACTTATTCTTGTGCTAGTGCATTGCCTCACACATAGTTGGCATTGAATAATATTTGTTGAACAAATGAATGAGTTTGTCAAATCTGAATTTGATTAACTAATATTTATTTCGTGATGTTTCCCTTTTATCATTGCTCTTACGGGTTTCTCATGAGACCTTTTGTGAAAAGGCAGAAAGCAGAGAGGAAATGCAGAGTCCTTGTTTTGAAACAGTCTAGTTGGTTTCAATCTGGTCAAATGATTAAGTTTATATTGAGAAACACTAAACATGACTGAGTAATCTGTATAGTATGAGATAAATAATTCTTAGTGAAATATTAATTGATTGATTTTCTGCTCAGGATACATAAAACGTCTTTTTATTTTTATTTTTTGGTACTGGAGATTGAACTCAGAGGTGCTTAACCACCGAGCCACATCCCAGCCTTTTTCATTTTTGAGATGGGGTCTCACTAAAGTTAAGTAGGGCTCACTAAATTGCTGAGGCTGGCTTTGAACTTGCGATCCTACTGCCTCAGCCTCCTGAGCTGCTGGGATTATAGGTCTGTACCACAGTGCTTGGTGATAAAACTTCTTAACATTATTCAGTGAGTAAAAAAGTACATGATTGCAATCAAAGAGCCTCAGACTCACCACGTTACTGCATGTCCTATATCGAATATTTCTTCCTTCACAGCTCCTAGTCATGAAAAGAAAAGAGAAATCTCATTACTACCTATGAAAGGATCAAAGTTTGAACCATTTTGTAAAAGTCAATTTCCTCTTAATACTAGTGGAAGGGTCTTTTCTTCTAAGTAGCTTCATAGAGATGTTGCCATTAAATACTAAATGGAGCCGATCTAAGGAAGATGTATCTATAAATTGATTTCTCTAGAAGGGCTGAAATTAAGCATTTATCTTGCTTCAATATTTTTCAAACTAAGTACTTAGTATAAATTTAACCAAATAAATATTAGGGTAAGGTTTTCTAAAAAATATTTATATTACATTAATCCTTAATTATTTCTAATATAAAACTGAAGAGACATTTTGGTAAAAACCTTAGAACTTGAATATGATAAAAAGTGAACTTGGTATTCAACATGTCTTCTAAGGATAGAAAAAGATATAATTCTTAAACGGTTATTTTTATTTCTAAAATGCACCCTCATTATAGTAATTTTGGAATAGATTACCAAAATGAAAAAAAAAAGTTTCCTGTAATGGTCTCATCTAAAGATAATTACTATGATTGATATTTCTTTCCAGTGCAGAGGAAATCACATCAATTATACAATTTTGTAACTTAATTTTGTCCCACTTAAATTTTTTTAGAAGTATTTTCCACACTATATTGAGAGCTACATAATATTCCATCAAATGGTATAACACAATTTGTAAATCATTATTCTACTAACTGTCCTTTAATTAATTTTTGTAGGGTTTGATAAAAGAGAGTGTAATAAGCCACCCCTAAGCATATGTCTTATCCAAGTTTCTGACTATGTCTTTAAAATTAATAAATTTCTAGAAGGGGAATTACTGAACTAGAGGGAATGAATTTTTGCAAGGCTCTTGAAAACTATTGCCAAATTGCATTCCATAAAGGTTGTACCATTACATACTCCCACCAGAAATACATGGGAGTTCCCATTTTACTGAATTCTTGTGAACAAAAACAATCAATATTTGGTAAAACATCCAGTAATGACAATTCATGAACAGCAGTATTCTGCTCTTTTCAAACTAGGTCACAAGTAAAACTATACTATGGGACTCTGAATGACCACATGAATAGCTAATAGTTAAGGAGGACCAGGTATAATTTAAATTTGTTATGTGCATTATTTTATTTAATATCAAAAATCTTGAGAGGGAAGATACTGTTGTTAATACATTTTACAGATTAAAAAAAAAAACACTGATGCTTAGAGAGGTTATGTATCTTTCCCAAATCGAACAACTGCTAAGTTGTACAGATGAGATTTGAAACTAGGCCATCTGGCCTCAGAGCTAACACTCATAATCACAAAGCTTTAATGCCTAATTTATTATTTTGTTCAGCAAACATCCATAGAGCTGCTGTTATGTGCCGGGCAAAGAACTTACTTAGGGGAGTACAAAGAATAATGAATATCACTTGGTTTCTGCTATTAAGAAAATCAATTCTATAATTATAATTCAGCATAAAAATGCTATCTAGTAATTGTGCTAGGTCTTGAGAATGTTAACAGAAGGAAAATGTTATCTGAAAACACAATTATATGAAGGCTATCTTAGGTCTAAAGACTTTAATTAGATTGACTATATTAATGAAGGCATTCGACTCACAGGAAAAAGGAGAATTGACCAAGATGTGTAGTTGTCAGTACCCAGGCCCAAGATACCCTAGACAAAGGGTCAATGAATTTCAAGTCTTTCATGCCCCATTGGAAAGGTGGTTGTTGTTATCTTGATGGCTTAGGGGAACCCTAGCTGATGCCAACAAATGCTCAGTTCATATGAAGAATGTTTCCCATGATGAAGCCATATTGACCAAACTGCCAGCCAAGAATGATCTGGATTTTCATGACTTCTGAGAGGTACAGAGCACTAGCCACATTGACAAGAATATTGTGGTACACATGATAGATTCTTCCATTCCTTGTTGTGCTTAAATAAACTGGCACCTCAGTTTGAAACATTACTTTCATGGGTCAAGTCATTGTGAGAACATCCCCAAAAGAAAGATCTATTCTTGGTGTTATTGTTTAAAATAATATCAAGCTCCTGATTCTGAAAACATGAGAGTTAGGCTAGGGATGATGGTAAATTTACAAGATAATGAATTTTGCAACTGGGGTTCCTTTGGTAGCTTGTCATATAGACATTGGTATTTCTTGCATATGATAGGCTTTTCAATTTTACAATGCTGGTGCATATGTAACACCGTATAGTAGGTAAGAGTACTCACTTTGAAACCAGACATCTCTTTATGGACTTGTGACCTCAAATTCTATACCCCAGTTTTTTTCATCTGCAAAATGGGCTAATATTACTTATATCACAGGAATATTATGAGGATTTAGTCAATAACTATAAATCATTATAGACAGTGACCAAGTCATAGTAAGCATTATGAAAGCATGTGATATATTAATTAATATGTAATAAAAATGATAGATATTGAAAAGAGGTTAAATATATATAGAAAAAGTTGTAAGAAAGGCAGAGCAGCATGAAAAGATTTGGTATGTTTGCAAATTTTCAAATAGATCTGTGTTTTTGGAATTTGGAGTTCATGTGGTAAATTTCAATAAAGAGAATATCATTTCAATTTTGAATTTTATAATAAGCAAAGAGGAATCACTTACTGAAGGTTTTAATTCAGAAAAATTGCAACTATGACTTCTTGATTTTAAAAGATGATATTTATCACTGAGAATGAACCTATTTTTTTCTACCCTTTAAAAAAAATCTTCTTTTCCTAAACTCATATCTATGAAATGAATAATAGAATTAATTCTGAATTAGAAATTTGAAGACTAGGGCTATAGATTTTGTTCCTGTACTTGCATAAGCCTTTTGCCATCTTATGCTCTTAACTTCGTAGTTCTCAAATGGATCCAGTAACATTATTGCATAACTTTTTGAACACCAACTGAGATAATACACAGAAGCTCTGTTCTCATGCCAAAGGATTATAATAGAGATACCACTTACAAAATGGAAAAAAAAGAAAATAGAAAAATGCCTTTTCAATAATTTAAATGAGCTTTTCCCCAGATATTTTAAACCATAAATACCTATACAGGTTTTACAAACATCCTTGGAGACAGGAGATACAGCATACAATGTCAAAGACTGACTTAAATACTTCTTAATCAGGAAAAACAAAATAAAAACAAACAAACAAAAA